CGGAGGGGGCCGCCGCGCCGCCGGGCTCGTCGCAGCGCGCCGCGGCCGGCGCCGGCGCCGCCGCCAAGGGCGAGCCGGGCGACGTGGACGAGCGCTTCCCCGCCTGCATCCGGGACGCCGTGTCGCAGGTGCTGAAGGGCTACGACTGGAGCCTGGTGCCCATGCCCGTGCGGGGCAACGGCGCGCTGAAGGCCAAGCCGCACGTCAAGCGGCCCATGAACGCCTTCATGGTGTGGGCCCAGGCGGCGCGCAGGAAGCTGGCCGACCAGTACCCGCATCTGCACAACGCCGAGCTCAGCAAGACGCTCGGCAAGCTCTGGCGGTGAGTGGCGGCGGGCGGGACGCGCCTCCGCAAGCGCCTCTGCCGGCCGGCGCCGCCGATGGACTGGCTTCCGAGTAGTGCGCTCCGGATGGCGATGCAAGGCGGCAGTGCTGGGCAGAACTGCGCGGGGGGGGGGGGGATTAAAGCAGGGGGGGGGTGGTGGGGGGGGGGGGTAACGCCGCGTGAACATGGCTGGGATTGCCCTGAAAGTCCCTTTGTTCGGTCCTGAGTTGGCATCAATAGTTCCGCGACGTTTCCGTAGCAGTAGACAGAACGGGGCCTGCCTTGTGGATCTGGGTCGCTTCGGTTAGTTTTAGACCCGCCATCAGACTTAATTAAGACCTTCTGGATTTTAAAGACACTTTCCTAGGATTAGATGGAGGTCAGTTTCTTTCCTTTCTTCGTCCGCACCTCCCGCCGCCGCCGCCGCCCCCGCCCCCGCGCCTGCTTTTCTTGCAATTTGGTTGGTTTTCATGCAATGTCCACTTCTCACACTTGACGTTTTTTGAAACTTGGCTTGAAAATCAGGGAGGGAAGCCTTTAAAACATGTGGCAAAACACCTGGAACTGGGAGGCCCGCTTTTTAAAAAAGAAAGTGAAAAGCATTGTTTCATTCAAGACCTATACTAATTTTAATGAGAAACTGAGTGACACGCTTAGCTCTTGCTCGTTAGGAAGAGTGGGAGTTACGCGCTATCCAGTATTGTGTGCCCGCAGACGAATTCCTATTGAACGGCGTGTCACGGTGTGCGAGCTGAACCAAGCGAGGGACTGGGAGCTTGTGAAAGTTAGGAGGATGCGGTCTTTGCAGCGTGATGGAACCAGCAATCTGGGCTTGCATGGAATAGGAACGCCATGGAGCATTCCCTGGCCTTCCCTCCCTGGGGTTGCTTGGGGCGGTTCGTGGTTAGCACGGTGGGCTGGGCTGCAGCCCTTGCGCTGATGAACCCTGAAGTTTAAAAACACATGGTGGGAATCAAAGGCAGGGTCAGCATAATGAGGGGCAGCTGGAGGAAAGCAGAGGTTCACAGGAGGGACAAGGCATGCATGCTAAATCCCCCCGAAGCCCCCTCACTTTCTCCAACTTTATCCTCTTGGGGCAGTTTGCCCAAACAATCTAAGTGGCTCCTTGGGAGGGCAATATTTTTAATCAGTCCCCCTTGCAGGGCACCGAAGTCCCCCTTGCTGCAGTTGATGGACTGGGAAACCCATTTACTTTTAGAAGTTTGACATATACAAAGGAAAAAAAACTGTTGCAGACTTCAGAAGGTTCATTTTCTTTAGTTCCCCCCCCCCCCAGCTTCAAAGTGGAATTAGGGTGACACACGGCTGGGAGATTCAGGGGTTCCTGCTTTTCAAATATGCTATTCTTCCCGTAGATAAAACAAGGGAGAACTTGGCATGGGACTCTGAGCAGTTAGAGGGACTAATTCCTAGTTCTTCCCATTTTCTCTTACACTTCCACAGAAATAATTGTCTATCTCTTATTATTCCTAAATAGTTGAAGTAATAATAATAATGGGGGAGGATTTTATCAAATGCTAACTATAGTTTAGTTAGTACCAACAGTATGTGCCATTTTGTGTGGAAGCGTTCTGGTTCTGTTCCATGCAGCAAGGCAAGGAAACAAGCATATTTATCATGGTAGACATTTTCATGGAATAATGTCTTGTGCCACAAAGTCGGTGCCCCAATAAATTTGCTGGTGCCTTCAAGCCGCGCTTGCTGCTTTATAGCAGGCCAGTACAGTGAACCCTTCACCGTTTCGTTTCCCGCTGGCTTCTCTCCTGTGCCTGGCTGTGCTAACCTGGAAAGCTGTGAGTCAAAATTTGCAGGGGAAATATGTCCGGCTGTCTCAGCAGAACGCCCAAGCAAGTCTGCATGGGGCGCGGAGCTAGAAATCCCATGGAGTGTGCTGCTTCCGCAGCCTGTACTTTGGGCATGGGAGCGCCAGGTAGGTTCAGGCTGTGTGGTGAACAGTGATAGCAATTAGATTTGCAGTCAGGGGCTTACATTCGGTTTTCAACATGGGCCGAATGTTTGAGATCTAAGTTTGATCTCAAGTTTGAGATCTAAGAATAAATAACCAGGAAGTTGAGGGAAGAAGCGTGTGTGCGCGCGCACACACTCCTCGCACTGGTTCTTGCTGGACAGCATCAAATGAAAGCCAGGGAATGGTAGACCTTTCCCAGGCGAGCTTGAGATGTTTCCGAGTGAGTGAGTGAGTGAGTGAGTGTCGGAGGCACCCTAGACCAGGGCAGCAGCGGCAAGGTTCAGCAGTGGGCGGTTTTCCAGCCTGACACTTGTTGCCTGCAGCAGCTGGACGTCCTTCTGCCCGGTAGGCCGGGCCCCATCCTTCCCCACGCAGGGGTGGGGAGATGTTGGGCAATCCCTCCCTCCACATTTATCAACACCGTGTGTGATCAGTGCACCCCTCCCCCCCCACACATCATGGCAGAATGCTGCTGATTGTCATAACTGGACATGGTACACTTTGAGTGTTCAACACATCCTTTGTGGAGTATCTCGGCAGTCCTTAGCATTCCCCTGCAAGAACAGCCAGTGTTGTCGCCATGGCCTTACTGTAGAGGGGTGGGAGAACCGCAGGATACCCGGAGCTGCCAAGCGGGTTTGTAGCCACAAGTTTACTTCCTGCGCCATTTGAACAGGTGGCTTCGGCCTTTTCTGGTGTGCCCAGTGCCTACTTGGAGGGGGCCCCGTTTGTCATTGAACTGATTTGCCTTCAGAAGGCAAGCTGTCCCAGGCCTGTGTGTCCTTGCTGGCGTGGACCGTTCTCTTTCTTTGAAGGAGACTGCATGCAGAACGTCCCCAGTTTGAGCCGTGGCATCTGCGGGGGGGGGGGGGGGCGGGGAAAGGCCCCTGCCTCTGGCCAGGGAGAATGCTTCCATCCATCGTTGGAAGCACTGGGCTGGATGGAGCCATGGTCCGACTTGGCATAAGGCAGCTGGTGATGGGCAGATGCCTACGGTGCAGTTAAGGCTAACACCCTCCGAGACCTGGATGTGGAAGTTGGTCCCTTTGAACAAAGTGGAGCAAGACTGCGGTGGAACTTGCTTCTTTGGGCTGGTTCAGCTGAGCGTTGGCCTGCATGTGCGCATGCATTGTCTAAGGTCTGAAACCGCAGTCTGCAACTTCCACTGAACCTCTGACTCAGGGTGAATTCCAGGAGAGCTGGTCTGTGCATCTGGCTGGAAGCTGACAAGACGTCTGGAGAGGAACACGGGCACATGTGAATTGGACCCTGAGCTTCCATGGCTAGGATGCCTTTGAAATGTTCCACAGCAACTTGAAGTTTGAAGGAGGGACCCAGCTTGCACAAGCTGCCTGAGCACCCAAGCAAGGGCAGCGGCCACCATCCTTTCTTTAACCTCCTGCCCTCGGTCAGTGCCGGGAGGCCTCAGTGGGCGCTTTCGCTTGAACCGTTGGTTGATGCATAGTCTGTCTGCAGCACCTCTGCATGAGGGCATAATCTACACCACTTGGCATTTCTAAGATTTGTAAAATGGATGTGTGCACGTGCTCCATGGAGGGGAAATGCACCGTGCAGGATATGTGTCATTATATGCATGCAGCTGAATCTGATGCAAGTTTTCTTGGAAGGAAGTCCTGTAGCATTTATTGGGGTCAGTTTTCAAGGACTGCAGCTTTAATCTGTTTATGAAGAAATAAGCGTGCCTAAGCACAGGGAGAAGGGCAGGGATATGAGGGAGCGTGGCACACATCGGGAGATGTGGCTGTGGTGGCATCCAGCACATACACATGGAGGTAACTGCAGAGCTTGGAATGAATGCACCCTTCCGTTTCTCCAGCATGGACTGTATTAATTAAAGTGGTGTGTAACCAGCCTCCTAAAAGTTCTGCACCCTATTTGCAGGCAGCAAAACTGGAAGACGGTTTCTCTGGGGGAAGGTGAACTTGCCACAGTGCCGCAGGAAGGGCTCCCCACTGGCATCGGCTTCTTTTCTGGCCAGGGAATTCATGCTCCCGGTGGCAGTGGCATCAACTGTGTTGGCCCCCATTCCGCGTGGACTGCAAGGCAGGTGTGCGGGTGTGCGGGGGACAGGCTGGCTGTTCAGCTCCAAGAGGCACCTCCCAAGTGTGGTAAACACAAGAAATCCAACGCGAACCCATGAGAATTCCTCAAAAATCTCTGTTGAATTTCTGTTCAAAAGCAATTTCTTTTCTACCTAGTAGAATGAGAAGGGACAGAAAAGATGTGAGATACATTTTCCAGACAGCACAAGTTTTTATTTCAAGTTTTTCTGTCCCATTTATGGAGAAATTGTGAATCTGGGGAACTTCTCAGAAATGAAACTACAAGACATTCCCACCAATCTGTAGGCGCAGCTCAGATCTGCCGCAAGGCAGGCTTGAGGCGTAGCTGGAGTTTGAAGTCCTGGCCAGCTCTGAAGCTCCCACCCCCATCGGCCTCTCCACAGCATGTGCAGTGTGTGTGTGTGTGCCGGGCCGGAGAAAGCGGGGAAGAGAACACTCACTCAGGGTATTTGGAGGAAGGGTATAGTACAAGTACAGGCGATATGAAGAAATACTTGACCAACAGAACATGCCAAATTCACGCATGTCATCCTGAGGTGGATTCCTGCGGCATCCCTGCTGTGAGGCACCTCATAAACCCCCTTGGGTTTGAGGCACCCACGCCCACCCTCTGCAGCGCCTTGCAGAGCAATCTTTCGGGGCAGGCTTTCGGGACTTCCTCTCTGGGAACCTGTCTAGGAGTGCAGCCTCAGTCTCATGCAACCTGAAACTAATCTGTGCACAGAAAGGACAAATTTCTTTGGCTTGGGCTTGAGGCAGGCAAGTGCTGGGTGGCTGACACTGTGGATCAGGGCTGATCTGACCTGCGGGGCACTGCAAGGCTCCATGCAACTCCTTCCAATCTCTTGCGCCTCTTGTTCCATCTCCTTCCAGTAAAAGGAGGTGGAAGGGTATGTCTTTCTTCCCCAACCACCACCCGCAGT